CACACACACACACACACACACACACACACACACACACACACACACACACACACACACACACACATGTGTTTACAAACTCACAACATACAGGTGAAGTGATTTAGCAGCAGGTCGTTATCTGCCACACAGGAAGGCACAGTTCTTGACGATGGGGACAAGAAAATGGCACCTTTAACTGCCCCCTTCCTCCACTCTTTACTGCATCCATCTGTCTGTCAGTCACCCATTCATCTTCCCTCCATATTTCTGCTAGACAGAGCCGTACAACTGCTGAGTGATTGAAACATGCAGCAGGCCTCCACTTCTGATTTCATGACACAAGATTTAGGAAAGCGAGGAAAATAAAAGAGATGGAGAGTTTATGGGACTTTTGCTTTGACGACAGGCAGGAAAGGCCTGCGGAGGATGACCACAATGCTGCCATATGTCTATGGAAACCAAGAAACTAAAAATAACTCCCTTTTCCTTTGGTTGAGAGGAGAAAACTGGATTTCTGCATTCTATATTTACTAACTGATGGTAACAAAACACTGAGGCTGCACACACAAAGCACAAACTGATCAGTCTTTTCAAAAAGGTTTCAAACAAATAGCATGTAAACAAAATGTAAATTTTACCAGCAGCTGGTATTATTGGCAGAATCAGCACACAAAGCTATCTTCAAATGTCATGACTGGTCATTTTAAATGCTCCATTTCATTGTGCTAATCTGAAATCAGTGCTAACACATTCCTGTTTGCCCTTCACGTCCTTCAGCTGTCACACACTTTCTGAGGCTTTGAAGCTTGTTTACAAGTGTATCTTCAAAAAAAAAAAGACCAGAATGTAATGTGATTTTCCATTTTCTGACCCGTGTGCTGCTCCCCTACCCCACTTCTTTACTCCAACACACATTACAAAGATTTTACGCACAACTAACCCCTCGTGAATAAACAAGATTTATACAAAAGCGCCAGAAAAATGCCTCTAATAATGATGATGAAATATCGGACATCCCCCACTTGTCTAATTAGCTATTGATTAGTGTGAGCACGTCTTCTGACCCGATGATACAGGCATCTGAGCTGAACAAGTTAGCAGAGCGAGGTGTGCAGATTATTCTCTTTCTTTTGCTCGGCTGCACGTTATTGAGCAAGTTGCAAAGCTGCCCTTTGATATTTCAAGTTACAAAACTCATAATGTCTTGATGCGGCTCTGCCCACCTATTTGTGTTCAGATGGACCCAAACACCTCAGAGGCTGATTTCATCACTTATTAACACTCGGTCCAGAAAGAATTAACAGCTGATATATCCGGCTGGAGTGTTTCATTAGGATGCAAATCTGCAGACTTTTGATCCTCACGAGTTCATTATTAAAGACAATAAATCATGTCGGGCAGAAAATTACTGTTGCAACATCAAGGGACTGAAACTTTCAAGTGTTGCATAATAAAGGAGGTGTTTCTTCATCAATTATTCCAAAATTTAAGGACGCGTCTGAAAGAGGGCCGTCAGAAAGATTTATTAAAGTAGCACCAGCTTTGGCTAATAAACGCAAATCGACCCCAGTTTAGAAACTCTTTGTTATCACTAGAACATACTTGAGTATAAAGTAGGGATGGGCAGTGACTTTTTAATATTCAAAGTCCAGTTAAATTAGACAATTTTGATGAATTGCAACGTCACAACTGTTTTATTTTGTTTGTTTAAAAAACCAGCAATTGTTAGTGACGTGCAAAAATGTTCCCCATTGGTGTTTTTTCCAGTTTACTTGCTTCTTTTTGACCCAACACCTACCAATCCTCAAAAACTCAAACCAAAACAAAAAAAATTGGAGCTACTTCCTGTAATTGTACTTTATTTTGAAAGGAACAGGAAGTGGAAACTATCCTCACAGGTGAGCTCAGCTTAACTGTCAGGATACTTCCATGCTGATCCACTGGACCAGTGAAAATAAAGGCAAAAATAAATAAATTCAAAAATATATAAGTAATTAACAAAATCACAAACTGTTTCGGATCAAATGCACATCCTAATATTAACAAATAAAGATTGAAATATCTGATGAGATAAACAACAAAAATCAACAAAACTGTTGACGAAATACGAAATAGTAAAATGTGTATCCATTCAAATTGTCCTTATTATTGATTATTATTGTTTACATTTATTTTTTTGGACAAAAGGGGTAGATATTACAAGGTTTTTCATCTTTCTGCTGCCTTAATTTTATTTGTAATTAGTATTTTTTATTGCATTTAGAATTTATTATTATTATTTTTTAAAGAAATTAATAAAAACGAATAAACAAACAAAAATCCAATCAGATGAAAAAAATCTCATTTTTACTGTAACTAAATTACTTTAGATGAGCTCATCTAATTAGACTTTCACTCAACAGACTCATCATTGAGTTTAAACAGGGAAAACATCTTTGAAATAAATATATTTTCTTTAAATTTTTCAAATTATCAGTGTTTTCCACATTTTTTCTTCTAAAACTAAACTCTCGAATCATAAAGTCCCATAACCACGTACCATATTGGACGGCTGTGCACCATATTAGGATAAATAACTTTGACAGGCTTCGACATGCACTTAAAAGTAACACAGCCTCGACACGGCTCAGCTCCGAAAGATTTCAAAGTCAATCATCACCTGATGATTGCAGCGACCTCCCCAGTTACAAGTGTAAAAAAATAGCTATTAGCACTGTGTGTGTGTGTGTGTGTGTGTGTGTGTGTGTGTGTGTGTGTGTGTGTGTGTGTG